TTGGAAATGTAAATGGATTCTAAAACTTTTCTTTTGAAGCAATGTTTTTCACTTATTAGTATTTTAGTGTTGTTAAATAGATTTATTGCAATTTGTATACATTAAACATGGAAGGAAGCTAAAAATGCATAATGTTAGAAAACTGAAAAATATTTTTGATTTCTTGGTTTGCACAATTTTAAAATAAAAATAAAAATGTATTCACAGGCTAACCAGTCATGTGAAAATGTGTATAAAAATATTCTCCATAAAATATATTGATACTTATTAAATATATTTTTTCCAACTTTATCGCTGAAAATTTATAAAAAAAAAACCAGGTGGTGTGCACATGAGAGATGATTGCATCATAAATGCCTAGGAAATGTTTCTATATAATCAACCCTGAATATAAATGAAAATTTAAATAATGGGAATATTTAGGTCGTGATCAAATAATTACATATCTATTTATAGGCCCTAGCCTAGACGAATTTTCTTAATCGATTTTAGTTTAAATATTTTATTGGTTAATGTATCTTATCTCTTATCTATTTTAATTTTTTTTTGTACTTCGGGGTGAGGGCGGGGGATTTAAAATCCCCTCCGTCACCGAGACGCGAACTCGTACTTTTTTATCTCTCATATCTGTTATCTGGTTACCGGGCTACTCACTGGGCACACGTATTAGCCCATTGGGCCACACCGCCCCATTCAATTTAAATCGATGTGACGGAAATAGTACCGTTTTTTCTGATTTTCATGAAATTTTCAGTGATCCTGCGGGTTGGTGGTTCTTTTTTCCACTTAGCTACGCTCAAATGTATTTAATTAGAAATGTCAATATTTCAGAAAATGCTCCTTTAGTTCAAAGTTATGTGAAAGGAAAATATTGATAATGCAATTGTGTTGTATCAATTAAATTCCCTCTACACTACGTTATCTTTAATATGAGAAAGATATATTTCCTTGCGCTAATATCTCAAAAACCGCATATTCGATTTGGCCCAAAGTTCCTTGACTAGACCATGTCGCCAGTTCATTTAAAAAAGTCGCTAAGGACATTTTTGATTAGCTGTTATTGATACAAAAAAACATAGTAATCGCATTGAACTGACAAAAAATCTGTCATATAAGGCTCTTCGTACCCTTCCTGGTGTGTTAATTGGAATTCATCAGCTCGTTCCTAAATTGAGCATTAATAGCTGCCACGCTTAGGAACCATATTAAATTATATTGATTAGTTGTTGTTAGTGAATTGTTCAGAATCGTGTTCTTTATTTTTGTTGGTATGTTATTTTAAATGTTTTCCACGTTAGAAGGAGAGGGGCAGCAGCCCCAATTTGCCCCCCCCCTTCGATAGCGATATTAAATGGCGCTATCTATTACAGCGAAGGGCGAGGTGCTCAGTAAGGACTAAGGCCAGCCACTGGAGTGACGCTGCTGATTTGAATGCAGGCAAGAAGCCGTCAAAACAGCACGTCATTGAAAGAGATTAGCTGGAGGTGATGTGTCCTTTCTGTTTGTCCTTCTTTTATACCACCGTATTGATTTTTCATTTTATCCAAAAAGAAATTTACACCACCGTCAATAAATAAATGATATGCCTGATATACCACTGGAGGAAGCTCGTTAAAATATTTAAGCTGCAAACTTTAAGGCCATTGATGACACCATGTTCGTGTCATGTTTGCTAACAAGGAGGAAGTTACGGATGATAACACTGAGCATGCTAAGTGATATCAACGATTTATTTTATTATTGTTTTATGCCATAGTTCAGCGATACCCATAAGGTGATTTGATGATTTCTCATCACACTTTTTGAGGGGGCATATTTTAGCGGGTTTTTTTAATTTTTGAGTGAGGCACATTTCGGTGGGGTTACGAATTTTCAGAATGAAAAATTCCATACTAAGGGACAAGAGGAAAACTTAAAACAGAACGCATGAAGTGTTTTTATGCTACAACTATAGATGGTAAGAAATATTTAAAGTCATTTTTCTTAAATTATTTTCTAAAAACTTTTATCGAGCTCTAGTAGCAAATCTTTTTTTTTAAATATATTTGAAACTAGTAGCATTCATGTTAGTATCTGTGGATAGATTAAGTTCAAAAACTCAACGCCGAGCTCATTGATTCCATCGAAAATTCATCAAATCGTTCCTAAACTGGTGGATGGAAACTATGAATAGAATTTGATGCGTTTTTTTATTCAGCGGTTAGATCACCTATGGATCAGCAGTTACGCTGGATGTATTGTATCTCATTATAATCTCAGTATTGTTATTTCTCAATTTACTTTACATATTTATATTCACTTTCCTATATATCTATATTTCGTTCGGTTGTAGAATCCAGCAGTACGGTGGGAAATTATTTTCTTACATATGTTTTTCATTACCAAAGGTGCAAGGTGCGGGAGATTAAAAAAAATGTTTGTACTTGGATTCGAGAATTTCTAATCCTATTCAGCGTTTCAGAAATCAAGGATCGAATTTGGTTCGGAATAAGTTAAATCGATGTAACGAAAATACCTCCTGCTACCGTTTTTCTGATTTTCATGAAATTTTCAGGGATTGTGCGGGTTGGTGTCTAGATGTGTCTAGATAGAATCAACAAGTGTAATTGTATATGAACTACTACTTTTTAAATTCTACCTTCACTTGCTCTGTTTTTAAGAAAAGATGAGCAATAAAATATCTAGGAGTGGGGTGAATAGGTTCTTGCGCCATCGACCTTGAGGTGGGGGGGGGATGAACATCCCTGCCTAAGTTCTATAAGGATTTCAAAGTTATTATAAAACTTTTTTTTTTGTTGGGTAAATTAAGTAAAATGGGCAAACAACATATAGGTTTTTGTTTTGTTTTTTAACAAAGCCATTCAGATTAGTTTTTAGCGAATATTAAACCCCTCTCATACGAATTTTTTTTTTTAAATTTAAATTGTACTTGATTTTTCCGCTGAATCGGATATTCACTAAAAAATCCACAAATTGTATTCAAATTAAACGTTAATACAAGCGTTAAGAAGATGATTTTTTGATACTCAAATTATACCAATAATTTCAATTTTATGGTTGCAAAAGGTAGAAAAAGTAAATAGATGAACACTTCTCAAACGTTTTATTTTACATTTTCGGTTCTAATTTGTTGGCGAAAGTCAGGTCTTTGCCTCAGGTAGTTTACACGGTATAATCTCAAGGTGCTTTTAGACATTTCACAAACTATGGGAAACACAATTATCTAACTTAACTAACAGCGATATTATTTTTAAACCACACTATTTATTTTATTTCTCTCTAAAATATCAGAAATAAAAAAAATAAAAAAATACTGGCATAGTGAAATAACCATTTATATCTTTTTTTGTTACATAGTTTGTGAAATGTCTAAACGCAACGAATAAGCAGAGCTGAAAATTTTAAGCAAGAAAAAAAAGTTTTTCAATTTGCTATGAATTTCTGGGCTTGAGATTTTTTTGGAGGATGCTAAAAGGAATAATTTGAAAACTTCTTGCGTGAAAAAATGATTTACCCCATTTTTGCTCGTCGGCCGGTTCAAATCTGTAATTGTAAAGTTTTTCCTAAACCTATTCCTTTCTGGAGTAAAATAAAACAACTAGAATATTGCATGTTTTGTGGATATCATATACGATTAAAACAGATTCCATAAAAACTTTTAAATAAAGGCGAAAATTAATAGCAAAAAGTTTTATTTTACAATTAGTATTAAAATATAGTCTTACGATAATGATTGATTAAATAAATTTAAACATGATTTGAACGTGGATATCTTCATAAAGGACCCAAAGTTTTATCACATATAAACCACAATACTAAATAAATATTATGAGCCGAAATTTATAATTTATACAGAAAACATAGGTTCTGAATATTATGAATTAAAATTATAGGACAATTTCAAATTTTTTAAATAATGCTTTATATTAGTCGGGAGAAATATAGGTACAACGCAAGATAATCATCCTTTTGATACCCTAGAGGAATCAAATATTGCTAATTTTGGAAGCTGCCTATATAGTTTCGGCTAATAAGAATTTTTATAAGAAAAATTATAAATTTGGCTCTTTTTATTTTTTTATTTTGTCCTCCTCTTTCTCGCTATTTAGACTATACGGTTTTACCGGATCAGAGAGTGAAGGCGGGGGAGGGGGGGGGGCGCTAATTTCCCTCCCTCCCGATACCGAGATGCAAACTTGTAATAATTTTATCAATTTAATTCTCCCATTAGATTTCCGTGAAACGAGTTGGTGTGTACAAGCATTAGCCCACACGTCCATCCCGTCCCTGTCTAAATTCGCCTCTATCTCACGATTAACAATATAGTCCGTTGTACAGACCCGTTTTTATGGGATTATTAACATCCGCCTGAAACTTCATAAATAGTTTCATCTCATCGTAACCAACAAATATTTTATTTACTAAAATTCTCGGAAGTGTGGAGCGTTTATCTGTCTGGAGTGGGGAAAACTTTGTCTATTTAATCAGGTACTAAAAACTAGTAAATACACATTTGCTTTCTGCTTGGATCGTAAGATAAATTGATCACAAAATCGAGAAAAAAGGTGGTCTTCAAAAATATTGAGCCGTTTGGCGTGACCCCCAAAATAACGAGGTTATGTAGGGCAAACGGCCCAATATTTTTATCCATTTTGTGATCAAATTATCTCACGATCCAAGTAGAAAGCAAATGTGTATTTACGGGTTTTTAGTACCTAATTATATAAACAAAGTTTGTTCCCAGATTGAAAACGTCCCAATTCCAAGAGCTTTTTCAAATAAAATAGTTGTAGGTTACGAAGAGATGAAACTATTTACGAAGTTTCAGGCGGATGTTAATAATTCGGTAAAAAGAGGTCTGTATCACGGAATAATATTAAACACATCTGTTCTTTTGTTCAGGAGCTGAATTCTGATTGTTTAATTGATTGATCAACTTAGTTGATAAAGTTAAATAAAATTGTATAGTTTCATAAGACTATTGAACAAATGACAGCCACATGCTTACCGGAGCGGACCTTGGCAATGGCAGAATAGGAGACAACCGTTTAGGAGAGGACGGTCGGGGAATTAGATCCATCGCGATGTGGAAGCAGGAAAGGAACATTCATTCACTCAGACAGAACGCTCATTCATTCGTGGAGAGTGGCTGGTTACGCAATCCATCCTCGTCAGTTTGTTTCAAGTGTTGCCATCCTATGTTTTGTATGTTGGGGCTACCTGCCTCTTGTCGCCGCCATCTCTATTATATTTCGTCCAATGAGAATTCACGGTCATAGTAAATTATAGACATAATAATTTCGCAGAACGGAAGATACCTAGATTCTAGGTAAAACATAATGGGATTATCTATAGCTGATATCTCAGCAACCTTACTGAATCGATTTTTCGATTTTACTGGGAAAAGTATTTACTCCGAACATCAATTTTTCAAGTCATTATGATGACACCTCTTAATCTACATTTAATCATAAATGAAAACAAGAAAATCATCTTCTGACTAATTATTAGTAAAATGAACAAAAATATATAAATTGAAAAAGAAAATGGAAGATAAAAAAGTGAAACAATGAATTGATTCTTGAAGTTAAAACTATTGAAGTATCCACTCTTACTAATATTCTATTTTTAATTTAAATAGTTTATTCAAGGTCCTATCCTCTATACAGTTTATACAGCTGACATCCTAACCTATCCCAACACTGTCATCACCACATATGCCGATGACACATGTATCCTATCAGTAAGTAATGACTTCAATTACCTCCCAAATACTTCAATTACACATCATAAATCTCGAAGAATGGTGTCAAAACTGGTGAATTAAAATAAACTCCAATAAATCCCACCAAATTAACTTCACCCTTCGTCGTAAACCAATGACTTCCTGTCCTACAGTTTCCTTTAACAATATTCCATTTATCCCTGTTGAACAAATCCGCTACATAGGACTCCACCTGGACAAACGACTAACTTGGAATCATACCAGACTGAAACGACAAGAAACCGCTCGACGTTTCCGATTACTTCAGCACTTACTAGACAAATGCTCTAAACTTTCAATTAATTACAAAAGACTCATTATACATGACTATAATAAGGTCTATTTGGACTTTCACTAAACCATCGAATTTCTCTCGTATAAAATCCTTACAATCCACAATCCTTCGTAAAATCCTCATTGCTCCCTACTTTGTTACAAATAAAACCATCTATAATGACCTTCATATTTCTTATATTTCAGGCCTAATCCAGATACCTATACTTTCATAGTAAACTTCAGAATCATCCTAACCCTCTCGTTTCTAACCTTGCTTCCTCTTCAATTCCTGATAAAACTCCGATGCGTCTGAAAAGAAGATGGCCCCGTGATCTCCTAATGTAGACATAATCAGTAGAGTGCTACCATTGGGTAGTTACTCAGCAAGTGTTTTCATGTCATTATATCCATATGTTCAAATTTACTAGATGTATTTCTTTGTAAATATCATTAAGAAATAACAAAAAAAAATATATATAATTTATTAGAAATGAATGGTTTTCCAATATATTCACTGTTATCCTAGATTTTCGAGGCCGGACACTACAAGAGTGGGTTAGGGACGAAATCGATTTGCAAACTTATATCCGTTGATTTCCTGATTATCACGCCTTTCAGCATTTCTATTTTATTTTATATATTTTGACAGTGACATAGGCACAGACTTGAATGGGTATATTTTCAAATATGTTAACAATGGCATCGTTAACAAAATTACATAACATGAAATATTACAGATTTTTATTTAAAAGTTTGAGGCAGTGAGATGAGCTCGAAATTATCAGATGTTTGAAATTTCTCGCTGAGAATGTGATAAAATGTTCACGTAAAACATAATTATATGCTGAATATATGTTCCTATATATAATTATCTTTGAATATAAACTAAAATTTCAATAATAGGAACATATATAGCCCTTAGCTTAGCCATCTAATCGACTTTTCGTATTTTCACAATTGATATTTTTTAGATATTTTATTCATTTATGTAGATTCATTGTAATTAATTTAAATTTAGTTTTTGTTTTTCGAAAAATTGGGAAGGAGCGACTATGGACAGTACTATTTGGTAAAATATCACTATTTGAATTTTTGAATATTACTGCCTTCTAACATTCCTAAAATTCTTGCAATGTTAATAACTTTACAATTTTGTTCATGTCTTTGTTCGATGTTAAAAAAATTTATCAGTTCTAAAATTTCTATTTGAATTTGCACTTTGATCACTTATTACAAATTTGTCACATTAATACGTCATTTGCTTGCGTAGTAACAATTTTCTCATTATCGTAGGTTATTGAGCCTATTGTGTGTGTAATCTTAACGAAGAAATTATTGAGCGTTTATTCAATGAGGTTCACTTAAGTTGTTAAGGTCATTTAGAATACTCGCATTAACAGACTGTATGTATGCCTAATTATTTTTTAGAAATAAGCTATTTAATGCAAATTATCGCCCCTACTGTCTAGGATTTTTTTTTTATTAGAGAAAATAAGACTGTTTTTTTTAATGAACAAAAATATTATTTTATATATATATATATATATGTATGATAAAATATAACTAGATAAACTTCCGCTCGCTACGCTTGTTCAAGAGATAAAGAAAACACTAACAGAGGTCCTTGACTATGGAGGTCGGTCTCATTACTTCGGAATATGGTCTTCTTTCTTAAGGGTGATCATATATATATATATATATTTATATATATATATTTATATATATATATATTTATATATATATATATATACCTCCTAAATATGTATATATGACTCTACAGAAGATATAAAATATAATCAAACATTTGTATTTTATTTGCCCTAAAATACAAATTGAGATTGAAATATTGAGATAACCCGGAAGGTTTAGAAAAATCATTATATTTGGAAGATAGCTGTAGTATGAGTACAACATCAAAATAAAACAACAACCCAACGTAGCATTTTGGTGTATATATTTTTACAAAATGGGTTTTATACATAGTTGCTATTAGTTTCCTGCACTACCGAAACTCTTTAACACTACTTTTAATTTTTATAGAATTTTTTTTTTTCATTGTTTGAAAATTAATACATTCTGCCGCATTGTAGGGCATTAATGTTAGGGCTACATTAAACATTTACACAATATATACATACAAATGATAACTATAATAGAGATAAAAGAAAAAGAGTGTAAAGTAAAATAAGAAAATTAACATACATAGGAAAAAAAATAGAGAGAAACTAAATGAAATTGAAATATATAAAACACATTCACACCTGATAGAATAATAATATTTTTGCCAAAAAGTTCATCCTAGGTAGGAGGAGCCTTTTCCTTATTTTTGTTTTTGCAAATCCTCCATAGACATTTTTGCAAACTGAGTGAGTGAGCTGTCATTTGTTGGGTTTTCGCAGCAATATATATTTAATATATTTAATATTTAAGCTCAGAATTATGAGTTTGGTAAATATATATTCTAAAAATTCCTAGCTTTATGTTAATTGATAATAATTGAGCGTCAGAACAGAAACAGTTTTCAAACCGTTACTATATACTAGAAGAATTGGTATAAATCCGACCTCTGTATACAAATTGGAACTAAGATATAAAATAAAAACGTTTCAAATGTTTAGCAATAATTATTGCTATAATAATTAATATTCCAATAATTATTGGAGATCACGCTAAAACCAACGGGAGCCGCAGATAACTCACTGAGAGTACATGCGATCTCCAGGTCGTAGGTTGCCAACCTTTGCTTTAGTTAAAGATAAGAAAAAAATCCTCAATAATAATCAAGTACTAAATTTTATATTTTTTTTATTTCTGTTAAAATTCGAAATTTAGAGTTTTATAGGACATTATAAATCTAGCTTACTTTTCCGTCAAAACATTAACTGAAAGCATCTTTTTGGTTTTTTTTATCTCCAATATATTTGAGCTCACTGATACTTTTGTTAATACTTTTTCTAAGTTTCCAAAAAAAAAAAAAGAAAAAAGAATCTTTTGTTATATAATAATCTTGAAATACGTGTAAAGCAAAAGCAAAAAGATAATATAAATTTTTATTTATATTGTATTTGAGGGCTCCTAATGCACATTTTAATGTACGCCGGAAATCATGTCGAATATTTTTAGTTGAAAAATAACCAATTTTATTGGTTGAGATCGGTTACCCACTGGCTATAATATCCCCTTTAATTTTAATAATTATAATTATTTTTAAGAAATTGTTAATATTTCTGTTGCGTTCCATAGTTAATAAGTCAGGTTCGGGCATCGTCACTGTATTTTCTCACACTTTTTTTTGTCTGCATCTTCCGTTCGCCGGAAGTCCGCTTAATGGGGTCTTCTAGAAATGTGGATCATTCTATGTAAAGTATGTTTGGAGGAAAAATTATAATTTTATAATTACAAGTTTAAAAAGTTTAATTAACCCGTTTAGTTTCTTATTAAATTCCTCTACTGTTTGTCATAGGCACAGACTTTCAATTTTGATTGTGGGATACGATGGACAAAAAAAAAATTAATAATGCCGGGACTTTTAATAATGTGTAAAAATTAAAAATAATTATTGTGAAACGATCAAATATAATATGTATTTAAAACTAATTTGTTCACATGTTTGTGTAATATGTTTATGTTTGTTTGTTTGTTTTGATGTCTAGGCTTTAAACATTCAGGTCATCAGCGCCCGATCAACTAAATAAAACTATTTTTATACTGTTTGGATGGTTGGTAGAAAAAAAAAGGATAAAAAAAATAATAAAAAAATAAATAAATAGAAGGATTGATAGAATAAAATAAATAAATAAACTTTAAAAAAATAGCAGTAAAATCAATAAATGAATTGTAAATAATAAACAAATGAACTTGTTGATGATGAAATGAAAAAAAAAATAAAATAAATAAAAATAAATATAGAAAAATAAAGAAAAAGTAAATAAAAAAAAAAGATAAAATAAAATAAGATAATAATAATAAATCTGCAAAGGATCATTAGTTATAACCTTGTCATATATGTTTTTTAAGTCTTTCACTATCCAGGAACTTGATAACTTTGGTAACAATTTCTTCTTGATTTTCCAGGGATGCTGATATATTCTGGGGTATTCCGAGATCTTTTAACCTTGCGATGTAAAAAGGGCACTCTTCACTAACATGTTTTATGGTTAATGACTGGTCATGAATATGTTTATGTAACAATGACTTATAAAAAAATAAATAAACTCTAAAAGTATTATTGTTCACACA